ATCCTAAAAACTGTAGAGCTCACATAAGTGCACCTGTTGAACTTTTCTGATGCACCATTAACGTGTCTGACATAGTTTTTTGCTACCAGGGGGTCCAGTAGGCATTTGTCAGAGCTCTCGCGCTGTTGACAATATGGACCCACACACTTATAGATGTTATGATTTCAAATCAAATCAATGAAGCCAGGAGACATTGCAACTATTTTGATTTTCATATGAAACAGAACTTTCGTGGGAACACTTGTAAACGCGGGTACTTTGACAGGATATCTAGATGCGGCTAGCTTATGGCAAAATGCATTGAAACTAGCGCTTTTTTCGCTAAAACTAGTTCGACTTGCATTGCGAATTGCAATTGATAAGATAGGCTTATTGAGGAGATGCATCAACGTTGATAATCACCTTAAACAGTGAACTTGCTAACTGCTTTCGGTATGCTTCGCAATTGCATTACTGATCCTATTCACCATGTTGTAAACGCGTAACACTATTTCAGTTCCCACATGGGCTTATTACGCTATGCGGTTTGTTTGGGTGTTGCTGCTCTTCTAATCAATTATGGCATAGAAAGGTTATACACGGAACATCCTCTTCATTTTGATGGGAAAGTTGATAGCAGATATGAAGCCGTACGCAAAGCCTTTGAGTGAGTGGGATGTTTTCACGTTTATGACTTGCACTCAGCCACAATTAAGGCAAAATTTTATTGACGGACTAGAGGCAGAAGGAGCTTCTTTTGCAGCCTATGTAAAAGGCCAAAAAGTTGTTGATCTGTGGGGAGGCTATGCAGACATACAGGCAGCAAGGACTTGGAAGGAGGTAATGTTTACAGCAGTCCTTTACTTACTATGCAAATTATCAGACGAAGTCACAGGACACAATAAGCGTTGTGTTCTCCACTACTAAAGCCGTAGCTGCGCTTTGTATTGCGGTGTTAATCGATCGAGGAAGGCTCAGATACGACGACCTTGTATCAAGACATTGGCCAGCATTTGCTAAGAATGGAAAAGCAAATATCACCGTTGAATGGGTGATGTCGCATATGGTAGATTAATTATCGACGAAATCGTTTGAATTTAATGTAATTTATTTCAGTCAGGCCTGTATTACTTTGATGAGCCTATCACTAAAGAAATAGCTACAAATCATGAAATCATGAGAAAGCTGATTGAAAATGAAACGCCTAAAGTCTCAGCAGGAACCAGCTTTGGTTATCACACATACACTTTTGGGTGGCTTGTCGACCAGATTATTAGGCATACTGACGAGAAGAAAAGAGGGATTGGCCAGTTTCTGCGGGAGGAGATTACCGAACCAAACGGTATGGTTTGTCTATTATGCATTTAGACAGGAAATGTTTGAAACTCAAAGATCCTTTGTATCTCCAATCGATTGAGCGAAAAAATCGATTATTTTCATGGTATGCAGATTTGGCACTGACATTTGATACTCTCAGCACCACCAGCACCAGTTTCTGCTGTGTGCCACAAATAAATGATAACGCTAGATAGCGAGAAATAGAATACTTTGAGATTGTAATTATATGAAGATGAGCGCTACAACCAATTTTTGTGCTATAAAACGTTTGCATTTCCTAATAGAAGCTGCTCTAGCAGTAACTAAGCGTATAACAAACTTATATCCATGGTCGATGTCTTTCCGTTAACGGCTTCGTCAGAGCCTCCATGCGAAATAATGCATCTCAATCGTTCTATGTAATATCTGGTTTGGAATTCTAATCTGGCTCTGTACTGCAGATCCGTTTTCTTATACTTTGATAATGGTTTCCGGGAGAAATGGTGCATTCAATTTCCGATTCGGAGATGCGATGGAACCTAAATAGACACTGATACCGAATCTA